TTATTTGTATTTATTGATAACTAATATTTTTGTTTGTATATTTCAAGAATAAATGTTTATAACTATTATATTATAGATAAACATTATATTTAAATATATTATATTTAAATTTGTATAAATATACATATTCTAATAATATATTATATTTTAAATTTAAAATAAATAATTATATTGTAGTACGAAATTATTTTTATTAATTGATAATTTATTTAAAGAAATTAAAATTTTCACTAGTATAAAAATGACTTTTAAAATCAGGGTTTTAAAATCGGTCATTAGGTAGCCGATTTTAAAAGTGACGCGGTGGCAATTTTGTAAATAATGGCATTACTTTTAAAATCGGCTACGTTATAACCGATTTTAAAAGTCTCTTACGCTATTTTTAAAATCGGCTCTTGAACATCCGATTTTAAAAGTGAGACTTTTAAAATCGGTTCCAAACAGCCGATTTTAAAAGTCTACTTTTAAAATCGGCTATTGAGTAGCCGATTTTAAAAGTATTACTTTTAAAATCGGTTATTGAACAATCGATTTTAAAAGTAGTATCAGAAAGTTAATTATAGTATCTCTGCTCCCATTACTTCATTCTCTTCTATTTTGCTTCAATATCATATATATTCTTCTCCTTACTCTCTCAGACTCTCATCTGAAGTGTGCAACTTCTCATTTTCTGGGACGAATACAACATCTAGGTAACACTCTCGTCTCATGCGTATTATTTCGTTATTTCTGGGTGAACTTTGAGTTTGGAACGGTCCTGAAACGGCCCCATAACGGCCTGTACTGCACTGCTTGCAGAACGGACCGTTCTGCAAGCAGTACAGGCCATTTTGCAAGCAGTACAGGTCGTTCTACTTGCAGAACGGCCCGTTCTGGGGCCGTTCCAGGGCCATTCCAAACACTCAAAGTTCGCCCGGAAATAACGAAATAATACGGTGGCAACATGGGAGAAACCATTGGCAAGTTGAAACTGAAAGTTTCCTAACATAATAGTTTTTCCCTAATGCGCGCATGTGTCACCATATTTCATTTACCTTATAAGTTTTCATTAGCACTTAATTTTGGAGTTTCACTAGTGTTATAACTTCACATATACCTACACATATTTGTTAAGTATATTTGTGTCTTCCACCTTGTTATAATGCGCTTGTTTCTTTCTTTTCCTTAGATGCATGGTAGATGGTAAAAATGAGTGAAACGCATAGAGAAATGGAGAAGACTAGGAGAACTTTGAAACAATGGCTCTCATCATCGAAGGTTCTATGGAGCATGATATTAGTGCAAGTTTTTATTAGTGGGATGCAGCTATTATCAAAGGCCATACTAGTTAAAGGCTCTTTCATCTTTGCTATCGTTTCATATCGCCATACGGTTGCTGCCATTTGTATTCTCCCCTTTGCAATCTACTTTGAAAGGTAAGTTATTTTTTTTTATTCTTTTTATTATTTCATGCTTTGCTTTTATTCTCTCTATTTCTCTCTTACATTGTTTCTTCCTCTTCTTCAACTCCTCAATTCTTCATTTTCTCTTTTCTTTTACCTTCCATGTTTTTGGTTATGAAAGTGAATTGTTAGAGAGCATTTGCGGGAGAAGGAGAGAGGTTTGCAGGAGAAAGATAGTGTGAAAAAGGGAGATTGTGGAATTATATTTTTTTCATTAAAATAATATCATACAAGAAGAACTTTGTTATGAATATTCTCATAATTAAACAGAATATAGAATTTTTAACTAAAGAATAAGTTATCACCATTAGGGAGCAATGAGCTACATTTTTCATTGAAACATTGGCTAGCTACGAGTTATGATTATAGTTTTACTCATTTTGTAGTTTAGGATGTACATAATTTGTAAGTTACTTTGATTACATATATGGTTGACATTTACCAACTATTGTTATTTGTATGTAATTTAGTATATTAAAAATATATGATTGTCTAGTATTTTATTAATTTGCAGGTTTTGTTCAGGGATCCTCCTAAAATAAGTCAAATATTTTAAAAAAAATTAACAACTTTTAAAATCGGTCATGCCATGGCCGATGTTAAAAGTAGGACTTTTAAATTCGGTCATGCCATGACCGATTTTAAAAGTGCCATTTTTAACCATGATTTTAAAAGTGAGACTTTTAAAATCGGTCAGCGAATGATGTTAAAAGTCTCACTTTTCAAAATCGGCTCTTTTAAAATCGGTTGACCGATTTTAAAAGTCAAAAACGACCGATTTTAAAAGTATTTTTTCCACTAGTGTTTATTTATAAATAAATATAAAATTGAATTAGATAAAGAGTTTAGAAAATTCTTAAAAATTCGACTAGATAACTTCTAATGTAACATTATATTGGGAGTTTGTTTTCTCTTAATTGGATGAGGTGAGTGTATTTCTGGTTGAAATTGAGATTCTCGATGGCTAAAAGACTTGTTTTTCTTCTTTTAATTCTTGTAGTGTCTTAGTCTTAGTCTTCGAGTTAAAGAGGGCTAATTTTACTTCTTATGCCTAGAGTTCGGAATTCATGACTTGGTGCGAAGTTTTCACTATTTAGAGCTTGAAGTAGTTTTCAATAGCTTTGAAATCACCTAATAAAGATATTTAGATATCAGGATATGACATTTTTAATGAGCAAATGTCAAGTTGTCGGCATTAATCCAAAATGTTGCATTTTTTTATAACTTTTAGTATAGTAAATGATGGAATTATAACTTTAGGTCTTCATAAGAGTTGTAGATAATCTTATTATCTTTAATGTGACATAAGGGCAAGCTTGAAAGGGGGTATTCTAACTCTCCATGTAGTGTTTTATGTGAAAGTTATTATTGTACAATTGTTGATTTTGATAAGTTGTATATTGATATGTGTTGTATGATGGGTGAATTTGATAAACATGAATATAATACTTGTATCTATTGCATGTTATATGATATAGGATGATGATAATAAGCATTGGTATGTTATATTTGTGTAGTTGCAATGGTGATAAGCATTGATGTGCTATACTTAGATGAATTGTTAAGTATTGGTATGCTATTATTGTTTGAGATATTAAACATTGGTATATTGTACATGATTGGTGTTTATTTGATCTCTATATGTAGTGACACACGATAATGTATATAGAAGACGTATATTAAGGTGTTGATGCTAATAACTTTGAGGTCATTAAAACATGTAAGAATAGAGGAAAGAATGTTGTTTAGAAAGTGAAAATCCTATAAAGGAAATATTGTTTTGACACTCTAGGAGGTTAATTGTTGTAAACCCTCATTAAGTAAGCGTGAAACTCTTAAAATGGATTTTGCTGAGTCATCTCTATGTCTTTAGTCAATGTAGAGCAAGGCATGAAGTTGAGGGTTATCACTCTTAACTAGTTACTAGAAACGTTGTGTGATTTATTGAGGATAATTAGTGAGCTAAATCCATATGTGATTTGGTAATGCATGTCGAGGTCATGTTACGCTTATACCCAACTATATCATTCCCGATTGTGAAATCGGGCTCTCATAGTGTAAGTGACGACACTTGAGAAAGTAGATGAGAGATTGATATTCCATTTTAGTTGTGGCTCCAACAAATGCATATGACGTGAAATCGATCACATTGATTTAGTAGAATCAAACCACTTAGACTACTCAAATGTATTAGAAATTTTTTGTAATTAAATGTGTGATGACACAATTAATAATCGAGTTATTAATTGTAGATTTCACAAATGAAGCGATTATAATAGATTGTTACATCTAAAAACTATCTTATGCAAGACAATACTAAAATACTAAAATATATAGGGGTTGATTTATTTTCAAAATACTAAAAATTAATTTACAAATAATTATAATAAATAAAATTAAATTGAATATAAAATAATAAAAAAATCTCTAAAACTTTGTCTTCAAAGAAAAGTCTCTAAAAAATTTCTTATTCCTTAAATAATGTAAGGTTTTTTACACTTTTTTTAATAATTAATTATTTAATTTAATTTAATTAATATCAGATAATTAATATACACAGAATTATAAACTTTGTTTTTTGCAAAGTCAAATTATTTATTTGAGAGAATTTGATAATTTGTTGAAATTAAATATTCATATTAATATTTTTACAAAAAAAATTCATATTTAAATTATATATATA